ACACCGCCCCGCCCCGCCCCGCAACGCCACGCCACGCTCCGCCTTTCCCTGCCCCGCCACGCCGCTCGCCGCATTCAATGCTCGACCTGTACACAGGGTTGCCAAGAGGAAGGCGAAAACACGATGGGCAGGCAATTGTAGAGCATAAATAAAACCCGGGCGCGGAAAATTTGCGTTTTGTGGTACAAAGTGTGATAAGTATTAAGCGCAATGCGGTGTAAAATGGACTATCTGAAATTCTCATTCGTAGGGATTCAAATTGTCGCCACTAGGCGGCGCATCGGTCAAGTCCCGCGAGCTTTTGGAACAGCTTTTTTTTAAAAATTATGGAATTCTATTTTTGGCACTTGACACGGTTTTCTCTTACTGTCGTCAATTGTGGACAGAAAGAGTATTATCAGAAGATTTGGTTTTGCTAAGAAAAAGTCTTCAAATTGTCACGAAAGTTTTTTTTCTCGAGAGTTTATTGTTTTTGTACAGTAGTTTCGGTTAAGTAGTTGTTTTTATTGCAGTGCTCATATGAGGTGTAAAACTCTTATGAACTGCGGGTCATTTTCTAAACAATCCGAATCAACGCGGAATCCAATGGTGGTGTGCATACTTAATATTTTTCTTATAAAAGTAAGTTGATGTGACAATTAGTGAGAAATAACAGATAAATATGTATATCAAGACAAAATACAGAAGCAATGATACATAATAAAATATGAATTAGAAATTATATCGTTAAAAGTGATACGTTACCAGACAACATCATTTATTTATCATAATAATAGAACGTATCTACCTCTCCAGCGATCTAATTAATAATACGTTCATTGATTTATCAGAAAACAAGGACAATATTTTGTGCATCAGGGGCCTTGTAAGGGTCCTAATGATCGAGCAGCGACAAAAAACCCTAGGGCCTTTGGCTCGAGACGTTTTGTTCCCCGAGAGCCAGTTAACGTCCGTGGCACATACCGGATTTTAGTTTTTATCTATTAATATTGCTTTAAATTTACTAAACAAATTGATGTTAATTTCACTCGGTTTATCTTTGCATATTTCCTTTCCGCAATTTCCTCCATAAGAGGACATGAAGCATCATTCAACTGTTTTCATGTTTCCCTCGTAACCACGATCTTCTCGATCAAGGGAAGTTATGCAGTGCGTATCGAACATAAGGCATCGAAGGCAGTAACAAGCAAAAATGTATCAGTATTAAATAAATATATTAATGGCTAAGTATGAAACATCTCTGGTTCATTTTTACTCTTTACTAGAAAATAGAAGATTGTTTCCTCAAGAAACTTTCGTGCTACTTCTGCAGGCGTCGAGTCAGTGATTTTCATTCGTCAACGACCATTATGATGAAAAGATTGCTGTGAGTCACAGCGGACCGCAAGAATACAAATCATGGAGAGCATGCGGGCCGCAGACCACTAGATTGACACCCCTTCATTGTGTGTAGTATGTGTATTTCCCCAGTGTTGCGTATTCATTTATTGGAAATGGGGCGTGTGTGTGTTTATTTTCCTCATATTTACTTTGCGGGCCACAAAAATACAAATCTTGTATCGCATGCGGTCCGCTAATTTGACATCTCTTAATCGTGTGTAATGTATGCGTTTTCCCTATGTTGCATACTCATTTAGTACAAGCCGTGTGTGTGTGTGTGTGTGTGTGTGTGTGTGTGTGTATCTTCCTCTCGAATTTCCTCAGGACCGCAAAAACACAAACTGTGAACAGCATGCAGGTCATTAAAATGACATATCTTCTTGTATACTACGTACACATCTCCTCTCCTTAGATGCGTAATCACCAGGGCTCGAATTCTGATGACATATCATCTTTTCACTGATGCTCTCTAGACGTAGCTAACTTGTAAATTATTGTTTATCCTGACATATTGCTGACAGAAATATATAGTTATTGGAACATTTTTTTGCCATTTTTCAATTTTAGGTAATGTTTTGGTCACATAGCGTCATTTCACTTTCCCGTATACGTACGTATATACGAAGTTATATACGTAATATAGGTAAAGTTATGTAATGCTGCGGAAAATCGATTTCGAGATTTCAACGGAAATATTGGCCTTTAATATTTTTAAAATAATATTTCCATTCTATTACTAGAAAAAGGAAAAATTAAGAAAGTTAAAAAAAAAAAAAAAATGTAGTAGGGTGGCGATAGATGGCAGTAGGCAAGAGTATGTGGCAAGTTCGAATAGCTAATCGAGAACAAAGGAAATAGAAAACTAATACTGGAAAGTCTGTACCATTCTATAGCGCCTCTAGTTTTTTGTTGGTGAATGTTTCATGAGTTTACAATGACACACTAAAGCAAAGTTTTTATTGTTTCATAAGTTCATGACGAAATTTACTACTGCAATGGACTCTGTTTTTCAAACTCTCAAAATTACACGGATCTTCGGTACCTTTCGAC